GCCTGGCCAACTTGGCAAGACCTCATCTCTACAATAAATAAAAAATTAGCCAGGTGTGGTAGCACGCACCTGTAGTTCCAGCTACTTGGAAGGCTAAGGCAGAAGGATTGCCGGAGCCCAGTCGGTCGAGGCTACAGTGGCTGGGAGTGGCCACTGCACTCCAGTCTGGGTGACAGAGTGAAACTTCAACTCAAAAAAAAATAAATAAATAAAATGCCTATCTTATAAACAATATGTATTTGGGTCTTGATTTTTATATTCAGTCTGACAATCTCTGACATTTAATTGGAGTGTTTAGCCCATTGACATTTAATATAATTATTAATACAGTTTGGTTTAAGTCTACCATCTTGCTATTCATTTTTGTACCTTCCCATCTATTTTTTCTTGTTCTAGTTTTCCTTTTCTGTCTGCTTCTGAGTGAATAAAAAAATTTAAATTCCACTTAATCTGTTTCATTAGCTATACTTTTTATATTAGAAATAGTTTTAAATGGTTGCTTTCTAGATTACAACATAAAAATGTCATGATAGTCAATTTACATTGAACTTCACTTTTGTGCCATTATTGTCATATATTTTATATGTGTGTAATAAATCTCATAATACAATGTTCTTTTAAATTAAGTGGCCAGTTGTCTTTCAAAAAAATTAAAAGAGGAAATAAGGCTGTCTTTTATATTTATTCAATTATTTACTATTTCCAGTGCACTTAATTTCTTCCTGTAGGTTTGATTTTTACCTAGTATTATACCTCTTCAACTTGCAGAACTTCCTTTGGCATTCCTTGTAATACAGGTCTATTTTTTAATTTTTTTAAAGAGTCAGGGTCTTACTCTGTCACCCAAACTGGAGTACAGTGGCACCATCACAGTTCACTGAAGCCTCAACCTCCTGTGCTCAGATGATCTTTTCAACTCAGCCTTCCAAGTAGCTGAGAATACGGGTGCACACCACCATGCCAGTTAATTTTTTAATTTTTTTTGTAGAGACGAGGTCTTGGTATGTAGCTGAGGCTAGTCTCAACCTCCTGGGCTCGAGCCAGGCTCGGTGGTTCAGTCTGTAATCCCAGCATTTTGGGAGGCCAAGGTGAGTGGATTGCCTGAGTCCATGAGTTCGAGACCAGCCTGGGCAACTTGGCAAGACCTCGTTTCTACAATAAATCAAAAATTAGATGGGCATGGTAGCATGTGCCTGTAGTTCCAGCAACTTGGAAGGCTGAGGTTGAAGGATCACCAGAGCCCAGCAGGTTGATGCTGGGGTGGCCGTGAGTGTGCTATTGCACTCCAGCCTGGGCAACAGAGTGAGACCCCAACTTTAAAAAAAAAACAAAAAACATCTCCTGGGCTCAAGCAATCTTCCCACTTTGGTCTCCCAAAGTGCTAGGATTATAAGTGTAACCAACTGCACCCAACCCAGGTCTGGTCTACTTTTGATGAATTAAGTTTCTTTATCTTTATTTTTGAAGGATATCACAGAATTCTGGGTTGATAGGTTTTTAAAAATTTGTTTCCCCCCCCTTTTTCATCATTTAAAATATATTGTTCCACTGTTGCCTGGCTCCCACTGTTTGTGATACAAAGTCATGTTATTAGTACTGTTGTTCCACTGTATATAATGAAGGGTTTTTTCCCCTCTAGCTCAGTGGTCCCCACCATTTTGGCAATAGAAACCAGTTTCATGGAAGACAATTTTTCCATGGACGGGGAAGGGAGAGTTGAACAGACAAACCTCACGGCTAATGTTAATCTCTATTTGCAGTCGTTGCCCAGCACTAGCATCACAGTCCCAGCTCTATCTCAAATCATCAGGCATTGGATTCTCATAATAAGTGCGCAACCTAGATCACTTACTTAAGCACTTCACAATAGGGTTCACGCTTCTATGAGATTCTAATGCCACCACTGATCTGACAGCAGAAAGAGTTCAAGAGGTAAAGTGAGAGATGAGAAGCAGCTGTAAATACAGATGAAGCTTCATTCACTTACCCGCTGCTCACTCCTACTGTGTGGCTTGGTTCCTCTAACAGGTCATGGACCATACCAATCTGTGTCCCAGGGGATGGGGACCCCTGTCCTAGCTATTTTTAAAACTTTTTTATCTTTCTTTCAGCAGTTTGAATTTGATATGGTCCCTTTGTATTTACCCATCTTGGGATTTACTGCATTTTTTGGATTTTTAAATTGATAATTTTAAAGAAAATTAGAGAAAACTAACCACAGCCCAGCGGTCCATCAACTGATAAATGCATAAATAAAATATGTTATATCCATACAATGTAATACTATGTGCCAATAAAAAGGAATAAAGTACGGAAATGTGGTACAACATGGATGAACCTTGAAAACATATAGGTGAAAGAAACCAGTCACAAAAGACCACATATGTATGATTCCATTTATATGAAATGTTTGAATAGATCAAATCAACAGAAACAGGAAGTAGATTAATGCTTGCCTAGGGCAAGTGGGAATGGGGGAATATAGGGTGACTGCTAATGGGTATGAGGTTTCCTTTGGGGTGATGAAAATGTTTTAAAAATTGATTGCAAAGATGGTTACATAACTCTGTGAATATGCTGGGAGCCACTGAATTGTACATTCTAAATGGGCAAATTGTATGGTATGTGAATACTATGTAAATAAAGTTGTTACCAAAAAAAGAGTCAGATCTACTAACTCACAATTCTTTTTTTTATACTATGTTTAATATTTCACAATTTTCTCTTATTTATATTTACATGGTTTCAAATTTTACTTATTTAAATGCTACATGAATTTCAATTGTCCCATGGTTTTCCTTGAACTCGTTCAATGAACATGACCAATAATATCAAATGTTATGTAGAGATACACTTGGATTTTAAAACGGAATGTAACTGTATCCTCATAATTAAGTATATGAAAGTTATCAAAGTAGGAGTTTTCTTTCAAATGAGTGTTTATAGCTAACAACTATGTTACATCTATTATCTCACCTGACTTTTTTCACAATTCTTTGGTGGGCAAGAAAGGTGGTATAATGGCCAGTTTTCAGATCATTAACTGAGGGTCACAGAGTAATATGCCAGGGGTGTCAAAAAATACATACACATTTTAAGAGATGTTATCTATGTATTACTTTTAGTTCACCACAGTCAGAAGTATCTGGACGCTGATGGTAACCACCACTCTGAGCACCTCTTGTAATTGCAGAAGTCAAATGTGACTTGTATTCATCTTCAATTTGAATACAGGTGTTTCCTTTATTAAAATGTATATACATTTTTTGGCACCTCTGTATTTTATTGTCTAATTAAACAAGTTACATAACAAATATTTTAAGACACAGTGGAAGACATAGTCTCTGACTTCTAGAAATTGCAATTGAGAGAGAAAACAAACATTAAAAATAAACAATAAACAATAACACAATAAAGGAATAAGTAAGGTAATAGAGGTACATCCCAAAAGCTATCCCCAATGGAGCCTGCAAATAGATAAACTAATTCTACCTGAGGGGAAAGGCACAGATTCAGAAAGAAGATGACAGGCTTAAAGGAAGAGACTGAGTTGCTAGAATTTCATCCAGACACATGGGCTTCACAAAGAACACAAAGAATCACAACATCTCTGCTCTGGCTTCAATAATCAAACCTGGTACTCACCTCTTTACATCTCTCTTACCACAAGTCTAAAATAAAGAGTTTGGACAAGATAAATGCATAAATTCTTTCAGCTCTAAAATTATATGATTCTATGATCTCAACTCTAGTCATTGTACATATACCAAGAAAGACAAACTCAAGAGCATAAGAAAATTACCCAGAATTATTTTAAAAAGAGTTTTCTCATTAACTACTTTTTCTTGGAATTAGAAGAAAATTAGTAGTTATTCCTACTTAGAATAAGCTCTAACACAGTGAAGACTAGAAATTGGAGTGATATATCAAGAAAGGGTTAGATCAGTCTGATCTTTAAAAAAAAAAAAAAAAAAAAGCAAGGGAGAAGCAAGCAATATAGTAGGATAGCAGGAAGTGAAGCATTCAGGTCAGGAAAGATATTGCTTAGACTAGTAAGGAAATAGGCAGTAAATAGGAAGTTACAATGTTTACATTCCTATTTCCAAGAAAAACTTGGACTAAAACCCAAATCAGACATTAACATTTACACTTCCATAAAATGAAGTTGTTATTTGGGTTTTTGCCTTGACAAAACACTTCTAAAAAAAACCCAATTTGTATAAAGAGTTTAATTTATGAATTATAATGAAAAATATGTAGAAATTTAAATATACACAACTGAATCAGTTCCAGAAATGGTACCAAGGATAGATACCATCAGGTAATCCATTAAACATTTATTAAACTCTGTTTAATAGTGCTAGTTGTAAAACACATGGTCCCTGGTACTCAAGGGATTCACAGACTTAACAGTCAGACTATAAATAAGAAAGGATAATATCTCTTACCCATCAATGAGGTTTTCAGGTGGGTGTTTTTCATCGCTTGATGTAGCTAAAATCACTTCAGACCCTTCAGAGCTCAAACAGAGATCAACTTTTCTCATCTTAAAGTATTTAACCTACAAATAAAAAAGTAAAACAATAACCAAAAAAAGCAACTTCATGATTCTCTAAACATAACCTGAGAAAACAAAGAGAAAAGGAAAGCCTGTTGCCTAGCACATGGTTAACACCCAGGCTACTCAGCATGTGGGAGGGACTCTGCCATGTTTATTTACCTAAGTAAACTTCTGACCACTCCCAGGGATAATTCATGTAACACATAACTACATAACTACTTCCACCACTCTGCTCCACAAAATAAGTCCCTGACTACCCTAACCAACATTATTTTTCTGTTTCCAGAAATAAAAGCCCTCAATAATTATGTGAAATCAGTTAACAAGCTAGGGTGACATCAATTAGTGAATAAATTTTTTTAAAAAACTTTATAGTTATATTTCTGAAATTTAAAAAAAATCTGGAGCATAAAAACAGATATTTTGTGACTGTTTATCCATACAGTTATCAACTGAAGTGGCAAATGATATTATTTATGCTTTAAAAGACATATTATCATTTATTAAGCAGAAATGTGAAATAAGAGAGAAAATTATATTTCTTTTTTTTGAGTTGGAGTCTCACTCCGTTGCCCAGGCTGGAGTGCAGTGGCACGCTCACGGCCATGGCCACCACAGCCTCGACCTGCTGGGCTAAGGCAATCCTTCAACCTCAGCCTTCCAAGTAGCTGGAACTACAAGCGTGTGCTACTGTGCCTGGCTAATTTTTTTTTTTTTTTTTTTTTTTTTACTTATTTTAGAGATGAGGTCTCACCAAGTTTCCCAGGCTGTTCTCCAACCTGTGGGCTCGGGAAATCCCCTACCTTGGTCTTCCAAAGTGCTGGGATTACAGGCTTGAGACACTGTGCCCAATCATAAAAATTATATTTCAAATAAACAAGTAAACAAAAAAATTACAGAAAATATTACACATATTAAAAACTATGTGCCCATTACCTAGACTTAATAATGTTAACATTTTGCCAACTTTTTTTTTTTTTTTTTTAGAAACAGGTAGCCTTTCACTGGCCCCATATTCTCTCTCACCTGCCCAGAGGTAACGGCTATTCTGAAGTTGATGTATATCCTTCCTGAGTATATTTTTACATTTTACCACATATATATACTTTTACCACTTTCACCATAAACAATATGTACTGTTCTCTTAAAATTTAGATGGTCCCACAGTGCATATATCCTTTTAAAATCTGCCTTTTTCCACTTAATATTATGTTTTCAAGATTTTATCAAGTTGATGGATGTAAAGCTACTTTATTCATTCTATTCATTCTTACTATTGTAAGGTATTTCCCCCTTCCCCTGTTGATGAACTTTTAGGTCTGTTTCCAATTTTTGCTATTATAAACAAATCTGCAATTCAAATTTTTGTGCATATATCTATATGCACATGGGAAAGTCTTTATGATAGAAATAAAATTACAGAAACTTAGAATCTGCATACCTTCAAGTGGCTAAGTGATCAATTTGCTCTATAAATTATAAGAAATGACATTACCATCAGCATGGTATGAGTTTCTCACCAATTTGGCATTCTTAGACATTTTGGCTTTAGCTATCTCACTGGTGTGAAATGGTATCTCAATAAGGTTTTCAGTTTGCACTTCATGACTATTAGTAAAGTTGAATACTGTCATATATGTTTATGGGCCATTCATTTATATTTTACCATTTACATATTTTCTAGCCTTATGTCCATTTTTCTACTGGCAAGGGATTTTATTTTATTTTTTTCTGGTCATTTTCTTTTTTGATTTGTAGGAATTTCTAAAATAAAATATTCTAGCTACAGATCCTTTGTTACATGTGTTACAAATATCTTCTTGGCTTGAATTTTGATTTTTATTTTAAATTTGGCTCAGTTTATAGGTTGATTTGTGTAGATGTGCAAGAATCCCCTTCCCTTTCATTTTTGTTATTAAACTATAACATACATAGAGAAAAAGGCATAAATCATAAGCATGTAAATCAATGTTTTCACAAAGTAAAAACACCCAGAAGAAACAGAACACTTGAGAAGTTCCCCTCATGCCTCCTCCCAGTTACTACCCTCTCTACATCCCAAATGGAATCCTGGTCCTTAATTCTAACACTTTAGATCAATTTGCCTGAACTTCATGTACATGGAATCACACCATTTATACGATTTGTATGTGGCTTTTTCTACTCATGGTTATGTCCGTGAGATTTATCAGCACCCTATGTTGTATATGGCAGAGTTGAATTGCAACTAAGTACAACAGCAACCCAGCTCCCATTCAGTTCACCTCCTGACAAGAACAAAGAAATTAGCCCCTAGGTGATGCTTTGCAAGAAAAGCAAAGAAAGATTTTTTTGGTCTCTGGTACTTAGATACCGTAGCCCCAAGGAAGAAGAAAATTGATCTCACTCTCAATTATCTGAGCCCAGAGGTAAACTGGAACTATTTCAAATCGCAACTTGATGCAAGCCCAGCACAATTCCTGATAGACTTGTCCCTCATCCTAGCTTCCAGACAAAGGAAATGGTAGGTTCTCTCTGGGAAAACACATTATCTGCTTTAGTCCCTGTTGTTCTTTTAAAGACAATGTCTAACAAATAAAGTCATCAGAAGCAATCTATAGATAATTAAGGTGCTGAAATTAATAGAAAAATATAAAGATAACTATTACAAATCTGTCAGATAATTTAGAAAAAAAATGAACAAAATGGGTCAACAAAAAGAGCATTTTAGCAGAGAAATTGAAAATATAAAAAAAGGACAAAATGGCCGGGCTCAGTGGCTCAGTCTGGATTCCCAGTACTTTGGGAGGCTGAGGCGAGTGGACTGCCTGAGCCCACAGGTTCAAGACCAGCCCAAACAATAAAAAAAAAAAATTAGTCAGGCATGGTAGCGTGGGCCTGTAGTTCTGGCTACTTGGAAGGCTGAGGTGGAAGGATTGCCAGAGCCCAGCAGGTCAACACTAGAGTGGCCATGAGTGTGACACTGCACTCCAGCCTGGGCAACGGATTTAGACTCCAATTCCCGTCCCCCACCACCACCCAAAAAGGGCTGGGCTCAGTGTCTCAACCTGAAATCCCAGCACTTTGGGAGGCTGAGACAAGCGGATTGCCTGAACCCGTGGGTTTGAGATCAGCCCAGGCAACTTGGCGAGACTTCATCTCTACAATAAATCAAAAATTAGCACCTGTAGTTCTGGCTACTTGAAAGGCTGAGGCAGGATTGCCAGAGCCCAGCAGGTCAACGCTGGGGTGGCCGTGAATGTGCCATGGTATTCCAGCCTGGGTGACAGAGTGAGACTCCAACTCAAAAAAGAAATAAAAGGACAAAAGACTTAAAAAAGAGAGAGAGAAAAAGGACAAAATGTAAAGTCTAGAGCTAAAAAATACAATATCTAAAATAAAGAATTTGGCTAGGTGTGGTGGCTCACACCTGTAATCCCAGCATTTTGGGAGACAGAGGAAGGAGGATTACTTGAGCCCAGCAGTCTGAAACCAGTCTAGGCAACATAGCAAGACTTCGTCTCTATAAAAAAATTTTTTTGAAAATAGCCAGGTATGGTGCACACCTGTAGTACCAGCTACTCACCTGACTGAGGCAGGAGGATCACCTGAGCCCAGAAAGTTGAGGCTGCAGTAAGCCATGGTTGTGCCATTGCACTCTAGCCTATGCAACAAAATTAAACCTTAACAGAAAGAAAGAAAGAAAGAAAGGAAGGAAGGAAGGAAGGAAGGAAGGAAGGAAGGAAGGAAGGAAGGAAGGAAGGAAGGAAGAGAAAGAATGAATTCATTGGCTAGGTTTAACATCAGACAGCACCCAACATAAGAACAGAACAATTAATTTAAAGCTGGGTCAATCGAAATGATCCAAAATGAAATAGTAAAAAAAAGAAAGAACAGAGCCAGCCAGAACAGATACATATAAAACAATATCAAACTAGTCTGAAATACATGTAATTGGAGTCCTAGAAGGAGTAAATAAACAGTGCAGAATAAAAACATGAAGAGGTTTTTCCGAAATCTATAAATGATATAAACCTTGGATCCATGAAGCTCAATGAACCCTAAGTTGAAGATTCCACTGAGGCACAACTTAGTCAACTGCTGAAAAAAAAATGTGTTTTTTTGAGACAGGGTCACATTCTGTCACCCATGCTGGAGTGCAGTGGCATGATTATGGCTCAGTGAAGCCTCAAACTCCCAGGCTCAAACAATCCTCCTGCCTCAGCCTCCCAAGTAGCTGGAACTACAGGCATGAGTCACCACACCCAGCTAATTTTCATTTTTTTGGAAAGATGAAGTCTCACTATGTTACCTAAGCTGGTCTCAAACTTCTGGGCTTAAGCAATCCTTCCACTTTGGCCTCCCAAAGTGCTGGTATTACAGGCAAGAGCCACCGCACCTATCCTATTAAAAATTAAAGAGAATAAATTAAAAGGAGCCAGAGCAAAAAACGTATTACATTTAGGAGTATAATAATAGGAAGTATGATTGACTTCTCATCAAAAACAATGGAAGTCAAAAGACATTGTGCTTCAAAGTTCTAAAAGAAAAACTATAGAATTCTATACCCAGCAAAAAATCCTTCAAAAATGAAGACGAACTGAAAACATTATTAGACCAACAAATGTTGAATATTTGTTACTGGCAACCCACACTGCAAGAACTATTAAAGTAAGTTCTTTAGGTTGAAGGGAAATGATTCCAGGTTGGACTCTGGATCTGTGGGAAGAAATGAAGAGCATGGGAAATGGTAAATATATTCTTAACATAGAATATACATAGAAGAATACTCTTAAAATTTATTTTTTAAATTGTTATTTAAATTTATTTTTAAAAAGTATTGACTGTCTACAGTAAAAAAAACAGCAATGAATGATAGGGATTTAACATATTTATAAGTAATATATACAGTAATAATACAAAGGGTAAGAGGAAAGTAAATAAAACTGCACTTCTTGCAAAGTACTTCTGTAAAATTCTTACACTGAACAGGAAGTAATACAATATTAATTCAAAGTAGACTAGGATGTTAACAAGGCATGTTATAATCCTAGGATTAAGTAACCACTAAAAAACACAAAGAGGTGTAAATAGGTCAATGAAGATGAAAAAAAAAAATACCAAAATAATACTTAATCTGAAAGGAGACAGAAAAGAGGAAACAAAAGAATTAAGAAAAATAGGACAAATAGAAAACAAATAGCAAGAACACAGACTTAGGCCAGGCGCAGTGGCTCAAGCCTGTAGTCTCAGCACTTTGGGAGGCTGAGATAAGAGGATTGATTGCTTTAGCCCACAGATTCAAGACCAGCCTGGGCAACATGGCAAGACCTCATCTCTACAATAATAATAATAAAAAAATAGCCGGGTGTGATAGTGCACGCCTGTAGTCCCAGCTACTTGGAAGTCTGAGGCGGAAGAATCACCTGAGCCCAGCAGGTCAAGACTCAAAAAAACCCCCAAAATTTTCAAGATGTTGATTATAATTCAATTTAATTATAAATTAATTTGGAGATTAGTGACATGTTTATTATAATAAGTCTTCAAATCTATGGATCTGGTATATCTCTTCACTTATTTAGGACTTCTTTTAAGTCCTTGAATTGTTTTTTTATTTTTTTGAGTCAGGGTCTAACTTTGTCACCCAGACTGGAGTGCAGTAGCACATAGCTCACAGCAGTCTCAAACTTCTAGGCTCAGGCAATCCTCCTGCCTCAGTCTCCTGGGTACCTAGGACTACAGATGCATGCCACCATGCCCAGCTAATTTTTTTGATTTTCTGTAGAGACAAGATCTCATTATTTACCCAGGCTGGTCTTGAACTCCTGGCCACAAGCAATCCTCCTGCCTCGGCCTCCCAAAGTGCTGGGATTACAGGCATTAGTCACCACACCCAGTCCTTAAATTGCTTTATAGTTTTCTCCAAACATATGTTTACCTCTTTTGTTAGATTTATTTTTAGATGCTTTATGGTTTTACTGCTACTGTAAATGGGATTTTTAAAAAATTAACATTATTTTAAAAAATTATTCTGGGCCAGACAGGGAATATTTTTAACATTTCATCATTAAATGTCATGTTCACAGGTTTTGTCAGATATTATTCATTGGGTTATAGAAATTCCCTTCTCTTTGTACTTTGTGGATTTTTGTTCTTTTAAACACAAATGAGCACTGAATTTTATCAAAGGCACTTCTAACATTTATTAAGATGATTATATGAACTTTTTACAGGTTGCTAATGTGATCAATTAAAGAGTTTTCTAATATTATAGCATCCCCAGTTTCTGAGATAAACTCTATCTACATGTCCAAGATGTATGCTATTTTTATCCACAGTTTGCTAATATCACATTCAGAATTTTTACAAATATAGTGCTGAGACTGGCTTGTAGTTTTTCTTTGCCATTCGGTCCATGACTCATTTTAGAATCAAGAGTGTACTGCAAAAATAATTAAGTTGGAGAGGCTGGGTGTGGTCAGTCATACCTTTAATCCCAGCACTTTGGAAGGCCCCCACCGGACATGATGGCATATGTCTATAGTCCTAGCTACATGTGGAGGATCTGCTGAGCTCAGGAGTTTGAGGTTACAGTGAGCTATGACTGTGCCACTGCACTCCAGACTGGGCAACAGAGCAAGACCCTTTCTCTTTTAAAAAAACAAAACAACAACAAAAAACCCTTGGAGAGCTTCCCTTATTTTTCTAGTTGTTGGAACAATTTACACAAGATAGGATTTATTTGATCCTTAAGTGGTGAAGCCCTCATAAGCAGATTTTTTGATTATTTCAAATTCAATAGTTCTGTTCAGGTTTTCAACACATTTTTTAGTCAGTTTTGATAATTTGTATTAAATATTGATAAATTATATCTTATAAATATTTATTTCTACTAGTTTTTACACTTATTAGCATAAAGTTCAGTTTCCATTATAATTTAAAATATTTAATCTCATATTGACAGTGTTAAAAGTGTGTTCATAGTGGTAAGAAAAGCATATAGTCTAATATTTTTTATTTGTACCTTATTATTTTTTGAAGCAGGGTCTCACCCTGTTGCACAGGCTGGAGTGTGGTGGCACAATCATGGTTCACCACCACCTCAAATTCTTCGGCCCAGGCTGTCCTTCCACCTCAGCCTCCCAAGCAGCTGGGACTATAAGCACATCACCACATCCACCTAATATTTTGATTTTCTGTAAAGATGAGATGTTGCTATGTTGCCTCAACGGGTCTTGAACTCCTGGGTTCAAGCCATCCTCCCACCTCACCCTCCCAAAGTGCTGGGATTAGGTGTCAGTCACCACACCCACCCTGTGCCTTTTTTTACCAACCAATCTTACCACTACTTTTAATACTATTCAACAAGGATACCTGCATAATCAATGTTTGTATACCTAATCCTGAATTGTACCTCACATCTTTATAATTAAAAAAAAATTAAAAATGCTGTTGGTACCAAAGAACTGCTTTGGTGTTAAATGAACACTGTCAATCTTAGTTTTAAGAGGAGACAGCCGGGCTCGGTGGCTCAGCCTGTAATCCCGCACCTTTGGGAGGCTGAGGTGAGTGGATTGCCTGAGCCCGGTCATTATTAAAATAATGGCCTTGAAAACGAGGACAAGACAGTACTGAAATTAGAAGTAGCGGTAACAGTAGTTTACAAATTATATCAAACTCAAACATTTCTTTCAGTTTAATGGAGTTCCTACCAATTAGGGACATGTTCTGAACATTTCAACAAAGCTCAAAGCTTCTCAAGATACATTGTGGACCAGACGGAGAAATGTGGGTTGGGTGACAGGTAGTACCTTAGGGAGATATTTGTAAATGGCTATACTCAAAGAATGATGATTGATGGAACAAAATGAACTTATGAAAGACTTCTTATCCTGTTCAACATTTTTATTAATTAAGGATGCAAGAAGTATGCTTATCAATTTTGCAGGATACGCAAAGTTGGGATGTCAGCTAATATGCTAGCTAATAGAATTAGCACACAAAAAGAAACAAGCAAGTTAGAAAGACCAGTTTCAATGAATAAGATATTTAATAAGGATAAGAGTAAAAGCCTATACTCAGTCTTTAAAAAAATCAATGATACAAGGATTGGTCTAGATCAAGGGTCAGTCAGCAAACCATTGCCTGTGAACCAAATCTAGCCACCTGTTTTTGTACAGCCCACAAGCCAAAAATGCTTTTTACATTAAAAAAAAATTTAATCAAAACATTCTATGACACATGAAATTCACTTTAAAGTTCATGAAAAGTTTTACTGGAACATGGCCATTCTCATCGATGAATATATTGTCTTTGGCTGATTCTGTGTTACAGTGACACAGTTGAGTAGCTGTGATAGACCATAAGGCCTATAAATCCTAAAATATTTGTCATTTGGCCCTTTACAAAAAAGTCTGCTAACTCCTGATCTAGTTGTATAATACATATAGATTTGGTTGATCACAAAGTCAATATAAGGCAATAGTGTAACATATTTGCCCTCAAAGGTAAAGGAATGCTATCTTAGATTACATTAAGAGAATTAAGGAAGTACTACGTTCCATCAACATTTTTGAACACCAACTAAGGCCCTTTTGAATTAAGGACCAGGCACTGTGCCGGTATTGCAAAGACAAATCAAACCTAAGTGACTAAGACTTGGTTCTTGCCTTTAAGCTAAGAGTCAAGGAAGACAGCAGTATGCAACTAATAATATAATACACTATGTGCTAACATGGTGTGATGCACATCCAGAACATTGTGCTCAGTTCTGGGTAGTATGTTTAAGTAGGACACTGTCAGGTTTGATACTATTAAGAGGAGGGCAAAAAGTTGACGATATCTGTAAACCATATGACATGGAGAATGGTGAAAGATTCAGGTCTGAATCATTTCAAGAGATAATTTGGTGACAGAAATATAACCACAATTTTTATTATCAGTAGTGCTCACAAATGGGAAGAGGATCTGAATTTTTCTTTTACAGCTCCAGGAGCATGAATTGAACTCAAGAAACACAAATTTTAAGCAGGAAGACATCACGTATATAAGAACTTGCCAGCAAAGTAAAGATTTTACATTTCTGCCATCCCTGTTAAGTATTCCAGAAGAAGAGTAGGTGATAATCCATGGAGGAAACCAAAGAAATCATTGGCCATTCTTTCAGGCTGAGTCAAATTCTAGAAAGGTAGATTGGGAACAGAGGATAAAGGATCTTAAAAGCCAGGTTAAAGACAATGAGCTTTATCCTGTCCTCCAGGGATTCTCCACTAGACTGGGGGTGATTCTGATTCCCAAATAACTTGTGATAACACCTGGAGACAGGTTTGGGTGTCACAACTTGGGAGAAAGAATGCTGCTAAATACACCATCACACACAGGACAGCACACTCACAACAAATAATTATCTTGAAGGAAACGTCAGCAGTGTGACGCTGGAGAAACCCTGCAGTAATCTATCTGGAGGTGGAAATGTGAGGATTGGAGATTTAGGGAGAGAACTTAAAAAAAAAAATTACATTTTAGGGAAATATATCTAGCATTGATGTGCAGTAGATGAATAGGATAGTGTGTATTATCCAAATGTTCTTTTCTTACCTCACATTCCGAATGACCTAAGTTGTTTGAGAGAAGCAAAGAAGTGCTTTAATACAAAACTCATTTCATACATCCTCTATCTGCCATCATCCTTCCTATCTCCTGTGTCGGGCAGGGTTACTTAAGCAACAGGTAGGAAGAGCAGAGACTTGGGTTTTCTCTAAGATTCTTTTGTTGCAGTGAATGAGAAAGGGGAAAAACCAACCCCAAAGAAATCCACTACACAACTTGCTCTAAATACACATGTATTCTCTCGGGGCCTCCGTTTACCGAAAGTGGTGCGCTCTGGAGTTGCCATCCTTTCCCCTTTTTACAATTCCTGGCCCTGGATTCCCGAGACGCCTTGTCCTGTCCTCTAACCCGGAGCCACGGGTTTCATCTCCAGCTCACGTGCTCTTTCTGGTCTTTCTTTCCGGATACCTCTCCAGGTCAAGTCCTCAGGTGGCCTTCTCCTTGCTCACCGCTCTCGGTTCAGATGTTCCCGCTGGAGCCCTCTAACCCTTTCCTGTAACCTCATCCGCGGGAAGCCCGGAGTCCGCCCGAAAACGCGGGACGAGGCCCGACACCACCCTCTCGCCTCCACCCCAACCCCTTTTTCTCCGTCCCAAGACCTCCGAGGGCCCGCCCCAAATTATGCAAAACGTGTTAAACTCCCCGACGTTAAACCCAATTTATGACTAGATGGGCTGCACCGCAGCCAGCATCTTACATTTTGGCAGATTTATTCACTTCAGTTGGCAACTGTCTTTCCTTTGGGGGGTCAAGACACTACTTCTGACCTCAAAAAGCTCCGTGGGTTGGCGGGAGTCTCCAGGGCCGAGGGCGAGAGCAGGCCCGCGCGGGGCCGACCCGCCCCTCGGGCCCCTCGCGAGGCTCCCCAGGAGCGCCCCCCGCTCCCGCGCCGCCTC